AAGAAATGAGCATCTCAAAGGAGAGGAGAGGTAAACGAATTCTGTGAACACCTGCAGCTTGTGAGGTAGTATGTACATACATTTGATTTTGATGTTTGTTGCTTTGTAAAAGATTTTAATAAATTTTTTAAAATTTAAAGATTTTTTTTTTTTTCAAGTTGCTACTCAATCACTTAAATCAGATTTGAATTCTAAGTTCTGCCTGGCATGGTTGAGAGCTATTATTTTTCTTTGCACAAGAGCAGCCTCAAACAAGCCTGAACACAAGGATCCCTTGGGGCTGTATTAAAAGTACAGATTTCCCGACCTGGACCCCAGAGGTACTGCTTCATGTTTGGGGTCCAGAATTCTGTGTTTCTTCTTTCAAGTTTTTATCTTGAACATAAAAAATATTCAAATCTCTATCTTGACTTAAATTCATCAGTTGTTAAAATTTTCTGCTTTTGCATTCTACTGTTTGCCACTGTAGATACTTTGGATGGATGGATGGATGGATGGATAATTTACTCCTTTTCATTAAGGCACTTAACAATCTGTTCTAATTTGTCTCCATCACTGTTTCTTCATGGTGTACAGTTCCCAGGATTAAGGTAGAAAGGAAAAGCATATGTTTAGTTAGAAGGTTATTCCCACATGTAACTGTCAAATAGTTCTTTTTTATTGTGAAATCATGTCAGACACATGCCTATTTAAACAAATATGTACCTTCTAAAGACTAGTGAGAATCCATCACTCCTGTTTCCACCACCCTGTTAGAACTAGATTAGGAGGAATACCAAGCCCCTGTAGGCCACTACTGAGCACTTGCCCCACACCAGATCTCCATATGAAACCATTTTCCTGAATTTTGTGTATTCCTTAAATGTCCTTAAAGTTTCCCCCATATATGTATCAGAGAAAAAATATTGTGTTTCATTTTTCCACTGTTGAACATTCTTAAACGATATATATGTGTTCTCCAGTGGCTTTTTTTTTTTTTTTTTTTTTTTTTTTTTTTTTTTTAGTGTCGTAGTAGTGTTGAGATTCATCTCTCTTGATGTGTATGGCTATAGTTTGTTTTCACTACAGTAGGCTCTTGTATCATATGAATGTAGCAGAATTTATTTATTCAATGTATCATTGATGGACATTAGGGATGTTTTGAATTTATTTTAATATGAACAGTGTTGTCAACATTTTTGTATATACCTTCTCTGTAATGTATGAGTCACTTGAAGGTATATTCCTAGGAGTGCCCAGAATGTAAGATTCTAGAAAGGTGTGGTCATTTTCTAAATACCAGAAGTTACCATCACTGAAGGTATAGGATCCATTCCGTGTCCTCCTTGGTTGGTCTGCAATTGGGTCTGGCTTTTTGATGTGCCCCAGAATACTTTTTTAGCCTTTAAGACACATAGGACTTTGTACAACTAGCTGAAGTTCCAGATGTGAATGGAAATGGTACAGGGTTGATGGTATTTGACCCACGCTTGGCAAGACAGTCACGTGAGCTGGAAATCGACACACTGGCTTATGCCATGGTGGTATTCAGTGAGTCGACTCAGTATCCATATTGACTTCTGTCTTATATGGTGATCTGATGTTTCTTCGACATACCTACTCTGCATTGATGACTTGCTACTCAGTTCGAACTACACAAATGACCACATTTTGTGATCTAATGAATAGGTCGAAACGTTGGAAAGAAAATCCAAAAGAAACTTTGAATTAAGAAGTACTTGATTTTAGCAGGGTTGACCATTTATGTATGAGCGAGATAATATGATTAAAAATAATATATGGAAAGTGCTCAACCTGTTGTCTGACATTAGATAAGCATTCAGTAAATAATAGCCTTTGTTGATGTTCTCCTTTTTAATTGTTACCATCCAGAACTCAAAAATCTTAAAATTCCTTTCCCTGATAATAACTTTTTTTTATTATCTTGAATGAATTCCTGAAATCTCTCCCCACCCCTTGTTTCAAATCCCATCTCAACTTCTGGTTTATTTCTCTTGAGTTATTCTCATAATGTTTACATATATCTGCTGTTTATCTAAATGAAATAAGCTTATTTTGGTCTCTTAAAACATGCCTAGTTTGAACTTAAAAAAAAATTTTTTTTAATGTTTGTTTATTTTTGAGACAGAGCATGAGCGGAGGAGGGGTAGAGAGAGGGAGAGACAGAATCTGAAGCAGGCTCTAGGTTCCGAGCTGTCAGCACAGAGCCCAACATGGGGCTGGAACTCATGAGCATGAGGTCATGACCTGAGCCGAAGTCAGA